AAGTCTGACAACCAATCAGAATACAAGCTCAACATCAAAGGCCAGAGAGGGCATAAAACCAGAGACTCAGTTTCTCTTCCTTCCTTGCTTCCCCTTCTCTTCTCTTCTCCATTGAACCATGTGATCATCTTTTCTGTTCAAGACTCAAGCCATGTGGTCCTGTCCACTATTAAAACCATCTTTCCAAGCAGCCTCCATGTCTCCAGTGTCTTTTCCCCCACTTGGAGCCGAACCCAGAAGGAAATTTCTTCCAACAGTTATTACTACAAAATATTTCCTACTGATCAGTTAAACTTGTTATTATACATATAGAACAACTTTTATTTCTATCAACAGGATTAGATGCTTACAATCTGTATTGCAAAATACAGGATTAGTGAGCAAGCAACTAATCCTGTTTGTTGTGATTCCAGAGAAACATTAGCAAAATAAGAGATCAAAGCCTGTATTGAATCGTCTTCCTTTCCCCACATTGTAAAAATATTTTAAGAATTCACCCCAATCGTCTTGGTGGATCAAAATATACAGAATGGTGCAATTCAAATAGTAAATAATAGCAGTGAGAAAAACAAGATTCAAGATGGGTTCTCATCCCAGAAACTACCTAGGGATTTTTTGGTTTAGTATATAATGCAAATACCACCAAATCAAATTGATTCATTGGTGATTGAATGTATAGTTGATTAATTACCTGAACGTACATAGCAGTTTGCTCCTTATTAACAAACAGTATAGAAAGTATTGTTTTTAATTGGGGGGGGGGGATGCTCTCCTATGAAATCTAAAGCACTTCTTCCTTCCCTGCTCTGCTGTTCATATACGTTGGGATTACAATTCCCTGATTAACGTGTTGATTTAGACATTTGGGGAGTTTCAGTTCAATACATCCGGAGGGCTCCAGGCTGAGAAACGCAATTCTAAGCGTTTAGCAGACAAGGAGCAAGAAAAGTGTTTGGTGTTTATTGATTACTTCGCTGCTGTTTCTGGTGAATCCACTGTTTGTTTCATTTCTTTCGACATAAAAATATAGTATTAATCGCTTTGTTTTTTTAAAAATACATGTGTGATGTTATCGTAGTTATGTTCTGACTTCTATTTTATGCTTTAATATTTATTATTTTCACAGCCTTAAGCGCACAAAAGAAAATTCGAAAAACACATCTGTAGAAATTCCAACTATTGAGGAAACTGAAGATAGAAAAGCGGAAAAAAGGAACTACATTACCCAGCATACCAAATGACACCTATTTCCGGCATTCTCACGTGATTGTCTCACGTATCGTTATGGCGGAAACTGCGGAAAAGGTAAAACTTATACGTAGAACAAGCTAGTTATTATAAACTGTCTAGAGAATCCTGAAGAGTTTCGAAAAATAATTATAAAACGGAAACTTTGGAGATATGGGCTTTTGTACGCTCCTGACGTTGGTAAAATAAAGTAGAAATCAGCGGGATCGCTGAGTGAACAAACGATAAAGGAATGGGAAGAGGAAACTGCTATTACTGTATACATCAGAAAGACCCTAATAATGGAGAAAAGATAAAAATGGGGAACTTGAAGAAGATAAAATATTTGCTTGTTTATATGATGGGGAAGAGTTTAAAGAAAGTATTAAGTGAAAAGCATGCCCGTTTTCATTTCGGATTGCAGAACTCCGCAGTAATACAATAATTAATTAACTTGCTCTATAACTGTAATTCCTTCTTATAGATTGAGCTATAAAAGTATTAAGGTTTTTGGACAACAGTTTCCTTACCTTTAGTGGACTGCTTTTATGAACTTTAGTTGCAACAATCTTAAATTATGGTCTGTGCAGTCTTCAGGCCACACTTGGAAAACTGCATTCAGTTTTTGTCTGCACGAGATAAAAAGATGTTGAGATTCTAGAAAGAGTTCAGAGAAGAGCAATAAAGATGATTAGGGGACTGGAGGCTAAAACATAAAAATGGTTGCAGGAATTGGGCATGTCTAGTTTAGTGAAAAGGAGGACTAGGGGAGACATGATAGTGTTCCAATATTTCAGGGGCTGTCACAAACAATAGGGAGTTAAGCTATTCTCCAAAGCACCTGAAGGCAGAACAAGAAGCAATGGGTGGAAACTAATCAAGGAGAGAGCAACTTAGAACGGAGGAGAACTTTCCTGACAATTAGAACAATTAATCAGTGGAACAACTTGCCTCCAGAAGTTGTGAATGCACCAACACTGGAAGTTTTTAAGATGTTGTCTAAAGTGGTGTAGGATTTCCTGCCTGAGCAGGGGTTGGACTAGAAGACCTCCAAGATCCCCTCCAACTCTGTTATTCTATTCTATTCTATATGGTCACATTCAATCTCCAAAGGCTTTTCAAAGGAATTTCAATATAGTGCCTGTCTGCAACACCTTAAAGCAAATGCATGCACTTCTAGGAAAATATACAATTGCTTTAAGAAGTTTAGGTAGGTTTTGTGTTCACATCCCCAAGTACTTAAAGCATCTTTTGGACTATTGCACAACCCTATAAACAATAAATGTCCAGGTTTAGTCTTTGTGTTAAACCAAATCTTGTTTAACTATTTGTTGAGTTGAGTTGTAAGTAACGGGTCAAGACAATGTGCCAATCCATGAACTATAGTTTAAAACTACAGTGACTAGTTTTGCACATCTTACTTAATTATGTTAAGTAAGTAATGGTTGTAATTTTAATCAAATGTTCATAAATTTCCAATCAATAAAGTTTATAAACTGAAAGTTACCTTATTCTCTTTTAATTTATGTGGAAGAGCAAGAATGTTTTAGAGCTCAGTTGATTGACTGACTGCTGAACTAGATTTTATATTTGTTACATTTGCTTTGTACAGGCAATAAGTTATAAAAAAAAACCTAAACAGAATCAACAAATGCAAAAAAGAAAAAATTTAGCATCTGTATAAACCTTCTATATTTTTGATTAATTTTATATTGGTAATACAGTACTTTAGAAATTATAGTAGTTGTAAGATTGAAATAAGTCTTATTTACATCCTTTAATTTTTACTCTAAAAACCCAACTTGAATTTTATGATTTCTAGTAATTATATTAAATATTTCTAATTATGTGGAAATAAGCATGTTGAAACATTTAAAAATAATTTATTTTAGTTGATTGATTAAAATTCCATTAAATAAGTTTATGAGGCAAAATTAATTTTAGTAAAATAAATATTGTCCCTTGTGTTTAGGGAGGCATTCCAATATTAGTTTCATATAAAGACTCAATTGAAACAATATAGGAAGTTTATTTGGGAAAAACTAGAGCACCAAAGATTTCATTAGCAAAAATGCAATTTCCACTTGATGATTGTAATCTCAATTTAGTTAATGAAATTTTTGTTGGTTTTAATTTAATGTAATTAATTTACAGGATTTGCAAAAATAACATTGACTTTATATTTTATCAGTCATAAGTGTGTGGAATTAAAATTAGTAGAATAACATCTTCTATGGACCTTGTTGGTAAGTTATTATGTATTTGTGTGATGGCAAGTACTTGACTTGACATAAAGTAGAAAAGGTATTTCTGTAGAGTATATGCTGTTAGTGGCCATTAGGCTTTGTTGGGGCAGAGACTGGGTTGAAACTGAGATATTAGATTTTGTTACTGACATTTTTTACTAATTCTCTGAAGAAAATCTACAATTGTAGGTGGGAAAACCTGTTTTTTTTTAAAAAAAAATTGACAGAAGCCAGAGAAGTCACTATAAACCATTGTATAATAATTACTTTAAGAATTTTTCTCAGTTTGAAACTGAATTTGGATATAGTTCACAAGCAGGCATACTTTGACAGCCCATGATGGGCCAGGTGTCTTGGCTGCTTTAGCCAATTTCAAATTCTTAGCTCATAGTAATAACTTTAGGTAATTGATTTATTTTGATACTGTATTTTACTGGTGCTTATTTGGGATAGACTTACATTTTACAAACATATAATCTTTCAGATTATCCTCATATATTTTGATTAAAAATAACAATTTTGAAAATAAGATGACAGTAATATAAATACTTCAAGGTAGTCCATAATCCATAAACATTTACAGATGAAAATGTTTCCATCTTCCTAGAATTTCTTTCTAATTACTAGTTCCTTATATTGTCCATACTTTTACACAATTCAAGCCTTTTAAACAGTCATTAACATGGCCTTGCATATTGATGTACAATTGTGGGTGTCTCTATTTATCCAAAATCAATGAATAAATGAAACTCACATTGAAGTATTATAGGCTCAATTGCATCTCCCTTCATAACTTTCAGCTGGATTACTGCTACCTCAAGTAGGAATGGAACTACTGCAGAGGTTTGTGCCTAACTCCTAACATTTGTAGGACATGTACAACAATACTGGAGAAAGCAAGCACCATTTCTGAGAGGTCTAACAGAACTTTGGGAGGGTGTCTTGGTGTTTTACTCATTCTATCAAATCATAACAAATGAATTAATCAATGACCAATGTTTCTATCCTATTACCAGACCTGAATCCAGAGAGAGTGTTTAAGAGTTAAATACCAGAGGTGATTTGAAGTCAGATCATTTCAATTGCATGAGAATTGGCAAACCTTCCAAAACTTCAAAGGGAGGATGATTTAATACTACACTTGGGCCTAAATAAGTGACTGAAGCCTGCTTTTGGATATTCAACTTTCTAGATACAGTACAGTTCTGAGGGTTTTTTTTAATGCCCCCCTCCCCCTGAGTAATTTAAGAAAATCCAGTAGTGGCAGTAGTCTGTGTAAAACTTTTACTAAAATGAGGCAGAAAAAATTATGGACACCAAGTTACTTGGATCAAGAAATAAAATTCGGATTCATTAGATAGCTAGAATTCATTCACCCCATTCATCCTGCAAAGGTAGTATATAAATCATGATGTTTATAAACAGGTCTGCAATTTTTTTTTTTTTTGAGAGCTGTTTTGGTTATTCCATGTAATCTGTTTTTTGGTGCGCTGAATCTGAAAATGACCTCCATTTTGTCATAGGACATCACATTTCCTGA